CGCGTCCGAGGCCGACCATGGCCCAGCAGAGAGCCCTGCCCCAGAGCAAGGAGACGCTGCTGCAGTCTTACAACAAGCGGCTCAAGGATGATGTCAAGTCCATCATGGACAACTTCACCGAGATCATCAAGACCGCCAAGGTGGGGATGCTGCCTTGGCCTCCAGAGAACGAGGGAGAGCAGGGACTGAGCCGCTCTGCTTAGTGGTTTTTGACCAGCACCCGTGTCTGTGGGGGCTGCACTCTGTGACGGGTGGGGATGCTGCGGGGAACAGGTTTTTGTCCCCGTGGAGAAAACGTTTTGGGCTGGAGTGGCGTGCTGTAGTAACAAACGTGTCAACAGATAAATAAATGAGCCAAATACTTACAAGCCTTGGTAGAGTAATAGGGAATTTTGGCCTAGTTGCTGAGCTTCCAAGGCCAGTGCTTACTAGCCATGTGGATTTGATGGAGACCCCATGCCTCTGTGCCTCAGTTTCCTCTGTGGTGTGGGTCCTTGAGATTAGATTAATTTATCTGTATAAAGTAGTTATCACAGGGCCTGGCACAGAGCAAGTGACCCAGACTCTGTAGCTGTTGCTAGTGAGTGTGAACAGGTGGCAGGCAGGCAAAAAGGGGGGCGGGGCACCTCTCCAGGCAGGCAAAGCAGTCAGTGTCTTGCCAGGGTCAGGTAAGTCCACTGACTGCTGCAGTAGCACCACATGGAGCGGGATCTTTCCAGACCTCTGCAGAAGTGGCTGGCTTGGTCAGTAATAGTAATGATGGGAGTTAATTTAGCACCATGTCAGGTTGTGCTGAGGACTCTATGCTGTTCTGTGCAATCTTTGTAAGGACTCTGAGGCAAGGGCCCTTGTCCTTTCCACATTCAGAGGAGGAAACTAACATCCAGAGTTCTCAGCAATTTGCCCAATCACTTGGCCAATAATAGCAGAGCCAGGAGTGTCTCAGGAGGTCTGGCTCTTATTGTTGAGGGTGTCCTAACACCCTTGCCCTGCCCTGTCCCTCACAAGGCTTGTCAGAAGCCATGCCCAGGGTGACAGCCAGGACTTTAGAGCCAGCAATGCTGAGCTGGCCTCCTAGTTCCTCAGTTTATTTCTGAGACAGCTTGGGCTCAGTGAGGTCTATCCCAGCATCAAGGTTACCTGTCTGTAAGCAGGAACAGCAGCACAGCTCCTGTGAAGTTTCGTGAGAGAAAATGGTCAACCAGTGGTGCTTAATGTGAGGCCTGACATTCAGGAAATGGACACTTAAAACATTCTTCATCCTTTATTCTGTAGTTCCAACAGTTTGTTTAGTGTCATCAAGTGACACTAATCTCTGGCAAACAGGGTTTTACACCCCAAAAAAGTTCTGGCCAAGGCTGCGTATAATAGTGCATGCCTGTAATCCCAGATACTCGGGAAGCTGAGGTAGGAGGATTGCAAGTTTGAGGCCAGCCTGAGCAATTTAGCAGGACTGTGTCTCAAAACATAAAATAAAAAGGGCTGGGATTGTGGCTCAATGGTGGAGCACTTGCCTAGCATGTGTGAGGCACTGGGTTAATTTCTCAGCACCGTATGTAAATAAATAAAATAAAGGTCCATTGACAACTAAAATAGTTAAAGGGCGCAGGGTGCTGGGGATATAGCATAGTGGTAGTTTCCAGAACAGGGGGAGGGGGGAAAAATCTTGGCCAAGTTAGTTAAGACACCTCTCTACATCTGGCAGTGTCCGTTTGTCTTGGAGAAAGTGCCAGTTGTCTTCCATAGAAAAGAACAGAGAGTTCATTGAATCTCGTGATTAGAGCACCAGCACCAAGTGGTAGAAGGCAGGATACACTCTAGCAATGTGGGTATGGGAAGCCAGGTCAGGCCAGCAGTGGGGACTCCATGACTGCCAACTGGACTGATTCTTTTTTGTTTGCCCCCAGATTGAGGATGAGACGCAGGTGTCTCGGGCTACTCAGGGTGAACAGGACAATTACGAGATGCACGTGCGGGCTGCCAACATCGTGAGTTATGTGGAGAGCACGACTGGGACTCCAGAGGGTCATGGGTTTGTGGTTGGAGTATAGTTCTTCTGCCCTCTTTCTACCTGCAACAGAAGGACAATGCAGGGGTGCTGGGTCTCATCTGTTGGCAGCTTTTGAGAATGGGGTCGGGCAAATCACTTCTCAGGAGATTGTCCCCAAGAGAGCTGCTGGGAAGGGGCAAGGTGGGTAGTCTGCTAAGTCCATTCTGTGACTTTGGGGGCCAGGAAGATAGAGATGCTGCTGATGTGAAAGTTGCCTGAGTCCAGATTGAAAAGGCACATTGTCGAGTGAACCAGCTGTCTGTGCAATGTGATCCTCCTGGAGTCGTGGGGAAACCCAGCTAGCCAGAGTTTCTGCAGGTGTGCCCATGGATGAGTGTGGGAAAAGGCCCCCTAGGAATCCTGCCCAACTGGTGGCTGTGCTTCCCAGGGAAGAGTAGGGCAGGAGGCAAAATAGGATATAGGCTTCTCTATGGGGTTGAGTTGGATAAGCAGGATGTGCTTGTGCCTGACTGGTCAGATTGGAGATGGGTCCTGTAGGGGTAGAAACCAGAGGTTGATGGGAAGTTTTGGGGAGAAAGCTTATCTCATGTGCTGTTCAAGGCGGGTCAGCTTCACAGATGACCCTGTGCGGTTGGGTCTGTCGTCCCCACCTTGCAAACAAAGAAGCTGAGTTTCCCAGGGAGGCACTACTGGTCCAGGGTCACCCTCAACCTGTGACTACCCTGATTCTATGCTGCAGGTACGGGCTGGAGAGTCCCTGATGAAGCTGGTGTCTGATCTCAAGCAATTCCTGATCCTCAACGACTTCCCATCGGTGAATGAGGCCATTGACCAGCGAAACCAGCAGCTGCGCGCTCTGCAGGAAGAGTGTGACCGCAAGCTCATCACCCTGAGGGACGAGGTCTCCATCGACCTATACGAGCTGGAGGAGGAGTATTATTCGTCCAGGTACAAATAGGGCTGGACTCCGTGCAGGAAGGAGCCTGCCTACTTGGGCCTGGCCCAGCCTGGAAAGTCTCTCTGTTTTTTCACAAACGTGCCTGGTCTTGGCTCTGCTGCCCATGTTCCAAAGCAGAGTCCCTGGCCAGCATGATCAATCAACAGACAGTTCACAGCCACCTGCCGGGGCCCTGGTCTTTCCCTCAGTGCAGTGGGATGAGAATCACAGGACATCTGGTGTTGGGGAAGTTGAGTCTGGAGAACAGTGTCCTAGGGGCTGGGCCTAGTGGCTCTTGGTTCTTGAATCCATATGTAGATGTGGCAGCCAAGCCTGGGCTGGCCCCTCAGCGTCCCACAGGCCCACACCCATGTCCAGAATGCCACTATTTGCCTTAGGATGCAGCTACAAGTGAATGCTGTTGAATCCCATGGTGTGGAGGTGGGGCAGCCATGGCAGGGAGGAGGAAGGAGCCAGCAGACTTCCTTAGCAGCCAGGGCCTCATGCTTGGGTGCTGGTATCTGGTCTGCTCAGGCTTATTCATGGAGCTGGAGACTCCTGCATGCCAGCCTCAGCAGTAGCAGGACCCATCAACCTAGCCAGCATGGGGCCCCTCAGAATCCTAACACCTGAGTCTGTGAGCCTGAGGGGTCCCACAGAAATCAGAGTCCAGTGTGATGGATATGGGGGGAAGCTCAGGCTAGACACAGGGGCCTTGCAGCTCTGTCCCACTAGCTTGGGAAGTCAAGATTCAGTCCAGCAGTTTCGAAATCCAGCCACTAAACCTCCTCCCTCCCTGCTCATGAATTTAAAATGTAATGGCATAGTGAGTGGTACACTTCTGTAATCCCCACAACTTGGGAGGCTGAGTCAGGAGAATGCGAAGTTCAAGGCCTGTGTTGGCAATTCAGTGAGACTCTCTCAAAAATAACTGGGGGGATGGGGTTGTGGCTCAGTGGTAAAGCAGTTGCTTAGCATGTGTGAGGCACTGTGTTTGAATCTCAGCACAACATATAAATAAATAAATGTCCATCAACAACTAATACAATATTAAGGAAAAGAAATCCAAAGATTTAAAAGAAAGGACTGGGGCTATAGTTAAGTGGTAGAGCATCCCTGGGTTCCACCCTCCAGTACAATGAAAAAAAAAATTAAAAAATAAAATGTTCCTTTCTGACCCACGGAGGCCTTGCTACGGAGTCAAATGGCCCATGGGGCCATTCTGTGTCTCTCCCACAGGCAACCTGTCTTCTCCAGCCAGCCTGCCCTTCCCATGTCCCTGTGGTGAAGCTCTGGCCTCTGCTTAAGTGTTCACTTCAACAATCTGGGCTTCGCCATGCCGGGACCAGGGGGTTTCATCCTCCCCTCTCCTTCCTCTGTGCCTAGTGACCTGCTGGCCACTCTGGCCTCCCTCCGCGTGGGCTGCTCCTGCCTACACTCTGTCTGCTCACTGCTTGCTCTTTCTGGCTCTGCTTCCTTTTCCACTCCTGGGGATGCCACTCAGTGCCCAGGTGGTTCTGAGCCTGAATGCTAAGGGCAGATGCAGAGGCCAGAGCCGCTGCATTTTAGACAGCTGTGGGCACGACCTTGCTCTGAGTGGTTCCTGCCAGGACTGATGAGCCACTCCTTGCCTCAAGTATTCCCTGCGAGGTGGGAAACCACACAGAGCCCAGCAAGTCCTAAGGCCGGAGAAGCAGTGTGGGGAGGTGCAGGGCCTGTTTTCCCGATAATCATCCTGTTTAGGTCAAGTCATAGGCAGGGTCTCTGTTGTCAAGGCTCCTTACAGTCTGATGACCTCCCTAGCCAGGGAGGGGATGGGCACCCAGGCTGGGAGGGGACCTTCAGAGACGTCCATGAGGAATTGCTCAGCAAGTTGAAAGTTGGAGGGCCTGCTGAGCCTCTCGGATGCAAGGGTGGTCCCTGTGGCCCCTCTCTCAGCCAGGCCTGCTGCAGAGGGGCAACCACAGATAGAAGGGAAGGCAAGTTGGGGTGGTGTTCATGTTTTCTTAACTCTGCTTCTATCTTGCTTTCCCCTCCCCTGGCTTTCCTCTTGCCTGCTCCTGTCCCTCCCTGGGGTTTCTGGTGGTGGAAAAGCTCAAGTCTTTGCGAAGCTAATGACCTGCCTCTGTGCGAAGCTTACTGGAGGCTGGACCCCGACACAGACTCCGCTGATGGTCTCTCAGCCCCTCTGCTGGCATCCCCGGAGCCCGGTGTTGGCCCTCTGCAGGCTGCAGCCCCTGCCCACTCACACACTGGTGGCTCTGGCCCCACAGAGCATGCCTGAGCTTCTCAGGGCCACTCTCCCAGGACCCCTAGTTCATCAGGAACAAATCCAGGGTTCTGCCCTGGATGTTCACCATAGCCCTGTTTCTCTCAGCCTCCACTTCCAGTTGAGTACTCTAGGACCCCCTGAGGCCTCCTTTAACTGGCCAAGCCAGGGTCAGCCCCAGGACAGTTGGGGAAAGTTGTTCAGGGTGGCCCACCATGTCTAGCTGCTACCTTCCTGACTGACCAGGTCAGAGAAAGTTGGTCTTGTTGAGGACCTGGACTGTGGGGCAGTGATAATGCAGGATACCAGGAAGACAACCTGCGAATGTATTTAAAATTGGGAGGGGAACTAGGTATGGTATGCACATCTGTAACCCCAGCAACTCAGGAGCCTTGAAGCAGCAGGAGTGTGAGTTCAAGGCCAGCCTGGCAAAAAAAATGGGGATGTAGCTCAGCTCAGTGGTGAAGCACCCCTGGGTTCAATCCTCAGTAATCCCCCAACACACACACACACACAGAAAAAGAATGGGGGGGGGGGCTTAGTGGAGAGCAGTAGCCAAGCCCTTAAGCCTTGGCTCCTGTGCAGACACCTGCTTACTGCATCTTTCCCCAAGCACAGATGTGCCTGCTGTGTGTAGACTGCCTGCCTCGGGAAGGCTGTGTGAGCAGATGGCCCACTCACAAGGCAGCCTGCCAGGGCTTCTTCCTGAATTCTGTTATGTCTGTTTTGCTACTTTTGTAATGAAATTTAAAATAAAAATACCACCTTGTGTGTTGGTTCCTCTCTTTCTCACTTCTGGTCAGTCTAATACTGCCCTTGGACTCTTAGCAGCTTCTGCATAACTCCTTGCTCTGCCTGGATGGCTTTGGGCTCCAGCCTCCTGGGTGCTCCCAGTAGGTCTTGGATGTTTCATTAATGAATGGAAAACTTGCTGTTGCACATCACATGGTTCGGGAATCAGTACTTGGGTATCATCTACTTCTTAATGCCACTGAGTCTGTGCTGCTACACCTGCATTTCAGAGAGAAAGAGGACACAGGCTTGCAAGAGGTGAGCTGTGCCTATAGCCACAGAGTTGGGAAGTGAAGTGAAACAGGATTTGAACTCTTAGGAGCCAGACCTGTTAGGTGCAGGGCAGGCTGAATGAATGTCAGCTGCAGGATAACCTGGGGAACTCTAACTCCGCTCTGTCTGGTCCTTTATCACCTGTTTGCGTCAAGGCTCAACAGTCGACCCCCCCACCCATCTGATGCAACAGAAACCCACATTTGACCCTGCCGCATCTGCCTGAAAGCAGATGACACCTGTAGCAACTACTGTGATCCAATTCTGTACGCCAACAAGGCAGCTTGCACACCAAGTGACCCCATTAGATTTGGACTACAAAAACTCCTGCTGGGCCCCCTCTTGCTCTTTTTTCTCTCTTTGCTCCCACGCCCCTTCTCTTTCTCATGGCTGCAATAAAGATCTCTTGGTCTCTCCCAGTGTTGTGGTCACTTTCAAGACCCAGTACCTTTTTGGTACCAGGTGTACCTTTGACATGCAGAGACTACAGTGCTAAGGTGGCTGCAGTGGTGGTAGACCAAAGACTTAGGGCTGCATCCAGTGGCTATCCACCTGCTTCACCTCCTTCCCATGAGGAAGATCACTGTTCCTGATATTGGCAGCCCAGGATCCAGCTTTGAGGAACTGCAGCCTGTCACCAGGGAGCCCCAGACCTCAGGAGCTGGCAAGTGGGGGGCGGGGGTCAGAAACTTGCTCAGAGGGAGTTTTTATTGATAAGATGTGGGGTGGTCTCCAGCATTTTAACTGTCGGAAGTTTCTACGGAGCCGCTAAGGAGAAAAGGAGTCCCCTACACCTGGAAGCTGAGAGTTGGGAGAGGGGGACTGGAAAGAACTGAAACATCTTTCGAATCATGAATTTAATTTGCTGCTTCAACACTATATTTCCCATTCAAAAGCCGAGGGGTTTCTTCTGCCTCTCCAGCCCTGGGAGAGACGTCCTCCATATCCCGCAGTCTCTCGAGCCTGTGTCGGAGGGGTTGTAGCCTAGACTTCAGCTACGCGTGTTAGAGCAGCCGGTGGCCGCCACGTGACCAGCCCAGCTCAACGCCGGGCTCCACCGCGCGGCAGGGGCTGGGTGGAGTGAGGAGCCCCCGTTGGAACTGAGGCGAGCGGTGGCCCCGCGACCCCAGGCTCCGTTTTGCATTAGCGGGAGGTTCCTTGGTCCTTGGAGCGGACGTGCGCGAGCAGGAGCCGGGCCTGAGCCCCAGCCGCCACCGTGGCACTCGTCCGGGACGCGGCGGTGCTCGGAACTGAGCCGGGGGCACCGCGCAGGCCACACCCCTTCCGGCGCGGCCAGGCCCGATCAGGGGAGCGCGGGCGCGGAGGCAGGCACAGCCAGACGAGCGCCGAGCCGCCGCGCCGGGCCCACGAGTGCGCCGCCATGGCCTCCCTGCAAGCCAAGGACGCCTACTTGCAGGACCTGGCCAGGAAGATCTGCGCCCCGCACGGCCCCGAGCCACCGCGGCGCGCGCGGGGTAGGCGGGTCGCGCTGGGCCGGGATCGGGTCGGGTCCGAAGTCGGTCTGGCTGGGATCGAGGTGGCCTGGGGCCTGGCGGAGTGCGGTCGGGGTCTCAGCTCCGCGGAGGCTCGGAGGAGGGCAGGAGAGCTCGCGTCCCGCCCCGCTCCTGGGGTGCTCGTGGGTGCGAAAGCTGCCCTAGGAGCAGGGGCCAAGGCAGGAGGCAGAAGTCCTTGGCTGGAGAACGCGTCGGTCTTGATTTCCTTGGCCTGTCTTCAGCGAGAGGAAGATCAAGAGCTGTTTTAAGGGTCTAGATTAGGGGCCGGATCCAGTCCAGGAGAGGGTCCGCTGGAGTCAGGACCAGGGCCTTCGCAGGGAGCCCCACTCCAGGCAGGGGCTGGGGCAGCCATCTGACCCCAGTTAGTCCTCAAGTGGACCAGAGAGTCTGTGAAATGCCGAACAAAGCGTAATCTACCTTACTCTTGGGCATTACCCTGACGCGTGGCCCTGGGGTGAAGAGAGCACCCCTGCTCTCAGCAAGCCCCCTCCTGCCAAGGAGGACCGCTCCTCCCCTGGAGCTGCTGGGGCTGGCCTGGTGCATCTCCAGCTCTCCACCTGGAGTAGTCTATAGGGAGCAGTGAGCAGTCAGGCAGAAATGGTAGACAGAGGTGGAGGGAGGGAGGAAGAGGGCTCCTGCCGTGCGACAGGAGAATCTCGAGCTCAAAGCCAGCCTCAGCAATGGTCAGGTGCTAAGCAACTCAGTGAGACCCTCTCTCTAAATAAAATACAAAATAGGGCTGGGGATGTGGCTCAGTGGTTGAGTACCCCTGAGTTCAATCCACAGTACTTAAAAAAAAAAAAATAGGAATGGACAGGGGCTTGATTCCCACTCAAGTCAGCACACAGGATTTTGTTGGGCAGAGGTGCCATAACTTGCTGCTGGACATGGATGTGTGAGTCTCCCTAGCTCAGGTGCTGAGCTGGTGCACATCCTGGGCTTTGTGCAGGAGAATCCTTTGTGCTGGGTCCTGCACGTGGTTGTGTGCTAGGTTTTGGTGTGTGGCTGCTCTGTTTTTGGAGCTTTTGTTTCTGAGCACTGTGGCCTAGTGTTGCTGGCTCCTCTGCCTACCTGAAATCTACCTGATTTCCTTCATGGGATCAAAGTCCTTGTGGGATCAAAGCCTTTGTGAGACCTTCCTGTTGCTGTGTGGGGCATAGAGATTGGAATAGCAGCTTTTTGTCACTTTATATCTCAGCTAGTAAAATTCAAGGCTCAGAAGCTTCTGGACCCCGAAAAAAGAAAAGAAAGAAAACACCAAAAAAATTCTGGGAACAGGAACAGAAGGCTTCAGAGCACAAAGCCAAGACCTTTGGGGAGAAGAAATCTCCAGTGGCTCCTGGGACCAAGAAGCCAACAGCAAACAAAGAGGAGCCTTCCATCTCCACAGGGGCCCCTGCAGGTAAGGGGCTCCAGGGCAATGGGGTGGGGATTAGATGCAAATGTGGCCTCCTCTGCTCTTAAGTCGCCATCAGGGTACTGGCTATTCAGAGCTTCCCAGAGAGTGAAAATCACAGAAATGCAATGGATAGTAGACTATGGGAAGAGCAT